GAATCGGTTTCGAGATCGTCCACCAGCTGGCGTTGCACGGTCTGACGGTCATCCTCACGTCTCGTGACCCGGGCGTCGGTGAAGAGGCCGCGAAAGTGCTTCAAGAGGGCGGCTTGAACGTCGTGTTCCACCAGCTGGACATTGTGGACCCTCGGTCGATCGAGAATTTTGTCGAGTGGGTCAGAGATAAATACGGCGGTGTAGATATATTGGTAATTTGGCCTTCTTCTCCTCCTTAACCTTTGAAAATAATTTTTCACTAGCCTTTTGTTGTCGGTTCGTGTATTCTTGGATTTTTTTGTTTCGGTCGATATAATTGGAAAATGGCATCGGCATCGATCCATGTATGAAGCTTCGATTTTTTGCCCATTTTGTATGCTTCATCTTTTAGTTAATTTTCTCTAGGTAAACAATGCTGGAGTAAATTTCAACGCAGGCTCGGATAACTCTGTGGAATATGCAGAGAAAGTGATCGGGACCAACTACTTTGGGACCAAAAGTATGATCAAGGCCACGATTCCTCTATTCAGATCTTCGGAAGCAGGTGCACGTATTGTCAACCTCAGTTCTCGATTGGGGAGACTAAACGGAAAGCGGAATGTAAGTCACGAGTTTTATCCTCAATAGTTTCCCTTTTGAATCTTTCGGCACGTGTAAAATTAATTTTGTCGACCAATAACGAGTTAGACTTCAGAACAATATTTGAACAAAGTTTCTCCATCTTCATATGATCTTGATATGGGATGTACAAACTGCCCAATGAACAATTGTTTTTCCCCCATTTTTGTAGAGAATTGAAAATGTGGAGCTGAGAAGAAAACTGGAGGACGACGAGTCGCTGAGCGAGGATTTAGTCGACCAGACAATGAACACGTTTCTTGAACAAGTGAAGGATGGCAGCTGGGTCGAGGGCGGGTGGCCCCATGTATTTACGGACTACTCACTGTCGAAATTGGGTGTAAACGCCTACACGAGGCTGATGGCGAAGATATTCGCGGACAGGCCAGAAGGCCACAAGATATACATCAACTCATACTGCCCGGGCTGGGTGAAGACAGTGATGACGAGCTGGGCAGGCCACGTCAGCCCTGAGGAAGGGGCCGACACTGCAGTCTGGCTGGCCCTGCTGCCCGAGCAGTTTGTGACCGGCAAATTCTTCTCCGAGAGGCGGGAAATACACTTCTGAAAGA